AATGAAGGACCCCACTCACCCAGCACACACACTTTTTGCCCCGCTCCCCTCAGGAAGGTGGTTAAGGAGCATTAAGTGTAGAACCACTAGACTGAGGAACAGCTTCTACCCTGAGGCTGTTAGACTCATGAACCTCTAACCAGAATAATCACTGTGAAAAATCACATCATGTTGCTGCTGATCTGTTTCATGTCGCTGCTGATCTGTTTCATGTTGCTATGTTCATTTGTGATCATCTGCTCACACAAACTCATGTTCGTGCTGCTGTTCGGCGTATTGTTTTTATGCTACTAGTGTTAAGTGTATATTTAGTTGATGTTTTTCTTGGTTCGTATCTTAGATCTTATTACTGTTTTTTCTTTTACATTTTATTGTGGGATGTAACTGGGACCCTGTGTACATAATTTCGTTCCACCACATGTACCACATGCGGTGTGTATGACAAATACATCTCTCTGACTCTCTGATTGTAATATTTTAAAAACTCAGTCTTCAAGCATGCAAAACCTTATTTAGATCTCTTTTTTTATTTATACATTACCACCTTTGTGTCCTTATTAAAGTTTTGTTGTATGCCAAGTAAAGACTGGTCTTTACTGCGTGTTGACAGAAAAGCTTATCTGTTAGCTGATAAATTGATATGTAGCTAATCATGTTTAGATTTGTTCATAAGAACTCATTTTGTATATGAATGACCTGATTTTAACCCTAGAGTTGATATCTGTCTCCACAGTTGGCCTTGTTTACAGTGCTGAATATCTAAATGAGCTGGCAGCCATGAACTGGAGGTAAAATCTTTATTTTAATTATTTTTCATATCTAATAATGCATGTGTGTCTGTGGAAACTGTTAAACTGTTGTAACTTACTGTTTTATCTTTCAGGTCTTTTTCTAAGTTCCAGTACTTTGACTCCAAAGGCATGTTTATATCGCTCGTTTTCTCTATTCCTCTCCTGCTCAACGCAGTCGTCATTGTGGTACATGAAACTTTTTTTTTTTTTCCCCCATGTCAAGTCAAATTAGCATTTCACAACATTTGCTAGCAGCAGATTTGTCAAAGTAAATACCAGTTCATGCTGAAATCTCTCGTATATTTCTCTGACAGATGGTGTGGGTGTACAGGACCTTTTCCACCATGACTGAACTCAAGACGCTTCAGCTAAAGAGAAAGGCCCGTCGGGAGAAGAGAGAAAAGACTGACTGATCCCACTCTATGTCCATACATGGACCTCATTTGGAAGAATTAAGAATCTCTGCTAATCCTGACTTTTGGAAAAGGGAAGCAGATTTCTTGTGACTTAAAAGGGATTGTTATGGCGTTAATACCAGATATTGGTGTCTTTATGCTGTAGTAAGTGTAACGTTAACACTATGGGAGGTGGGACGACCAAAGAGGTTTGTTGTTTTGTATTTGTTGTTTCCAGATGTGTTCAAATGCAAGATAAAGATTTTATTTTGTTTTGGTGACTTGTAGTTTGCTGTTTAACCTAAGGTTGAAAGTTTAGATTTAAAATGAGAGGGAGAAAACAAAGTTGTGTTTTTTTTTTTTTTTTTTTTTTACAGGCAAATGCCAGATCATACAAATACAATACATTATTAAAAAGCAAGATGCAGAAATGTCAGTTTATTAACATTTTAATATTCCAGCGTATTCTCTGATGTTCTCTGCACATTTCACAGGGAGTAACTGAATCAGGTGCCTTTCACTGCAGACAGACTAAAGTAAAGAACCAGTGGACACACAGTTGGTGAAGTTGTACAATAAAAGATGATTATTTGAAACAAACATTACCACAATTCATCCATTTTATTTTACCTGCTTTTCCTTTTTTGGGTCACTTTGAGGCTGAGGACACGCTAGACAAGTCACAAGTCCGTTACTTTTGAAATCGTTTATTTTTATCGATCTTCAGAATATTTGGTTTTCTAAAGCTACACCGTCTAAAATCTGAATTGACTGAATTTTCTTCACACTCTCTGCACATACAAATACACCTACTTCTTGTAGTAAACATTACTGAGCGTTACTGTCGTTTTTTTGTTCTCAGATTCTATCACTAAACTTGTTTGTTCTGACCACATTTTCATATGTATGATGTTCCATCATTATAGTTCTAAGCTTGTTTTAAAGTTGTGACAGTTATTTAATTTTTTTTTACTTTGGTTTAGTTGTGCCAGCGGTCTCCGTCGTCCTGTTTGCCACATGCACAGTGAATATTTGTCCCTTATTTTTGTCTTCCAAGAAATAAGTAAAATCGCTCAAGTCCTTTTCTGTACACTCCTACCTATTTGCATATGTAAATACTGGTGGTGTATTTAGATATCGTAATGATAACTTTTAATACCGTGTTTTTCGGACTATAAGGCGCATAAAGCGAAACAAGTTCAATTTGACAGATTTTTGAGCGCCGTGTACCACATAAAATCAGTTCGAGGTCAGTGAGCACAACCAGAATTAATAAATAAGGCGCACTACATCATAAAGCTCACTGTCGATTTTTGAGAGAATTAAAAGATTTTAAATGCGTCTTATAGTCCAAAATATATGGTAATATTTGGCGCTTTACTGGATAATAGTATATCCACAAAAGCAAGTGGCATGTAAAATCGTATAATTTTAAGATTAATAGCCATTTTCTCTTAAAGTCTTCCCCAGTTCCAGATACAAAAGGTGCAAATAACGCAGTTTATGTTGGGGAAAAATGGTGATTTGTTTATGCTTATTGTACCAGGTAGGTGTTTGGGTTCAATGACAAGTTGATGCACATGCATCATAAATAACAAGATATATATTACGCAGATATTAAACATTATAACTAACCAAATCTAGTTTAGAAGAATAGCGTTTTGTCACTCTTTATTCTAATGAAAATTACATTAAATGCAATGCAA